GATGACCTCAAGGGTATTTTGGGAATGGATTTTCTCGAGCAACATAATGTGACAATTCAGGTTGCACAAGGCTTACTGATGTTTGCCGATCAGCAACATGTTCAGTTAGAAAGAGATTACACTCCTGTATGTACTAGGGTCAAGTTGTCTAAGAAAGTAGTCATTCCACCTGATAGTGAAATCATTGTACCAGGTTATGCTGTAGGTGTCAAGGACACATCTGTAAATAATCTAGTTGAACCATTTCAGTTTCTACAAAAGAAAGGTCTATTAGTTGCCAGAACCTTGGTAAATCCAGAAAATATACAATTTTCTGTAGCAAATATCTCAGATAGGCCAATAAAATTTGACTAACACACCACTGTAGCTTCCTTACAACCTGTAAATATTTTACAGTCAAATACCAATAGTGAGTTAGATGTTGACAGTTCAAGAGAGTTACCAGAACATTTACAATCTTTGTTTGATAGATCTTCCAAATGCTTGACACAAGAACAAAAATCAACTTTGTTCGACTTACTAGTTTCCTTCAAGGACATATTTGTTGGTCGGGATGGAAAATTTGGTAGAACTAAACTAGTCAAGCATAAGATAGATACAGAAGATCACAAACCTATAAAGATACCACCTCGTAGGTTACCATTTGCACAGAGAGACATAGTAGAAAAAGAAATTCAGAAAATGTTAGATAACAACATCATAGAGCCTAGTGAAAGTCCATGGTCTGCCCTCTTATTATTAGTAGAAAAGAAAGATAAGACATGGAGATTTTGTGTTGATTATAGGCAGTTGAACAAAGTCACTAAAAAGGATGCTTATCCTTTACCGAGAATAGACGAGTCATTAGATGCATTAGCAGGTGCCTCATGGTTCAGTACTTTAGATCTTGTCTCGGGTTATTGGCAATGTGAGATGGAAGAGGAAGACAAACCTAAAACTGCATTTACTACTCACATGGGTTTATTTCAATTCGAAGTTCTACCTTTTGGAATTTCTAATGCCCCTAGTTGTTATGAGAGGTTAATGGAACTAGTTTTAAGGGGTCTTAGATGGGAAAAATGTCTTTGTTATCTTGACGACATCATTGTGTTTGGTTCCAGGTTTGAACAGGCAGTAGAAAATTTTAAAATAGTATTTGATAGGTTAAGATCGGCAAACTTGACACTTAAACCATCCAAGTGTGATTTGTTTCAACAAAATGTCTCTTTCTTAGGTCACGTTGTTTCAGAGCAAGGGATTCAATGTGATCCCGAGAAGATCAGTAGTATTGAATCTTGGCCAGTTCCTAGTAATGCTACAGAAGTTCGTAGTTTCTTAGGGCTTGCAGGGTATTATAGGCGGTTCATCCCAGATTTTTCAACAATTGCTAGTCCTCTGACATATTTAACTAGAAAAAAGGCAAAATTTTTATGGACCCCTGTACACCAAGTTGCTTTTGATAAGCTTAAAGAACTACTTACTACTGCTCCCATTTTTGCATACCCTGATAATCATTCAGAGTTTATTCTAGACACTGACGCTAGTAACACTGGTATAGGTGCTGTCTTGTCTCAAATACAAAATGGTGAAGAGAGAGTTGTAGCATATGCTAGTCGCACCCTAAACAAACATCAGAATAAGTACTGTACAACATACAAAGAGCTCTTAGCAGTAGTTACATTCATCAGACAGTACAGACTTTTTCTTTGGGGTAGGCACTTTACAGTTAGGACTGACCATGCATCATTAATCTGGCTGAAAAACTTTAAAAACTGTGAAGGGATGCTGGCTCGATGGCATTCTATTTTAGAAACATACGATTTCAGTATAGTACACAGACCAGGAAGGTTACATAATAACGCAGATAGCTTATCTCGTCGACCTGTCAGTTATTGCAAACGTCAAGACTGTCCAGATCGTCATGTAGAGAGTCATAGTTATGAAGGGGTGATATCTATTCACAAGGGTTCTCATACTGAATCGGAAACCGGTAGAGTAGCTCCTGTAAGGGCTTCTAGTAGGTCCGTTAGCGATAGTGAAACAGACATGACAGATTCTTTTAATGATAATGACACAAATTGGTTGCACACATGGTCACATGATGAGCTTAAAAACATGCAACAAGCAGAACCTGCAATTAGAGAAATCATTAAGTTCAAAGAAGTTTACATTACAAAACCACCTCGTCACACTGTACTAGATGCATCCCAAGATTTAAAAACATTATGGGGTTTATGGGAATCATTGACAGTAGATGAGAACATTCTGTATTACAAGTGGAAAATGTAGATGATAGAGAAGTTCTGTTGCTTGTAGCTCCTAGGGAAATCAGATTGACAATATTTCATCAACTTCGCAATAATAGAACTGCAGGACATTTAGGTAGAGAGCGTACCCTTAGGTCCATTAAGCGAAGAGTTTTTTGGCCAGGGATGTCATCAGATATCAAACGTTGGTGTTCACAGTGTAATACATGTGCTAGAGCTAAAATGGTCCAGGTTTAGGAAGATCCTCTCTTCGTCAGTCTATAACAGGTGCTCCATTAGATAGAGTAGGAGTTGACATTGTAGGTCCCCTCCCAGTCACTAGTGATGGAAATGAATACATTATAGTCCTATGTGACTATTTTACTAAAGGGGTTGAGGCATATGCAGTTCCGGATCATCAAGCTTTGACAGTTGGAGATAAAATTGTCTCTGAGTTTATTTGTAAGTTCGGAGTTCCTAGGCAGATTCACACAGATCAAGGTCGCGAGTTTGAGTCTGAGCTCTTTTCAACATTGTGCCGAAAGTTAGGGATAGAAAAAACAAGGACTACACCTTACAGGCCACAGTCCGATGGGTTGGTAAAGAGGTTCAATAGGACTTTACAGCAAATGTTAACTAGCTATGCAAATGACAACAGAAATAATTGGGATGAGAATTTACCATATGTTCTCATGGCTTATAGATCATCAATACAAGAGAGTACTGGGTTTTCTCCCAATATGCTAATGTTTGGTCACGAAAATAATAGTCCTATAGATCTAATCATAGGTAATCCTCCTGACACCCACAATCCCATTTGTCCCAGTGAATATGTAGAATGGTTGAAAGGTGTTTTGACTGATACTCATGATTTAGTACATAGGAATCTAGAACAAGCTGCTATTAAACAGAAGAAATATTATGATAGGGGTTTAAAACCAAGAACATTTTCAAAAGATGATTTTGTCTGGAGATGGTATCCTCCAACAGCAGGAGTAAAATTAGATTTAGGGTGGATAGGTCCATATAAAGTTATAGACAAAATTACAGAGGTGACCTATAGAATTAAGAAAACCCCAACTAGTTCATGCATAGTAGTGCATGTGGATCACCTGAAACCTTATGAGGGTGTGTCTCCACCAGACAGTTGGTTACAAGAAGTTACTTCCCCTGAAGACACAAATTCAGATTTTGAAATCACCCCTATAGAAAATGAACTCATTAGTGAAGATGAATTAAGTTCATTCCCAGTACAAGAACCTAGTCCTGTAATAAAAAGGTCTAGAGTAGGCAGAGCTATTAAGCCTAGGGATATCTATTCTCCTTGAACCAACCTTTTATTTTTTTAATTTGTATATACTATTGATGTGATATATATCTAGTTGATAACATTTAGTGACTTGCTTATTTTTTTTTTTTAGCTGGTATCCCATTATTTTTGAAATTCTTTACATCTCTAAGTCTAAAACCTGATTTATTTAAAGTTAATAATTTTCCTGTATCTCCTATTATTTTACTTTAAATCTTATTGCTGATTCTGATTTTTATAGATAGAGTCAATGAGAGATGTTTTTTCATGATAATGAAACACCGTAGTTGACCATATAGATATATCTAGTTATCAGAACAGTACACTCTGTTTATTATTCAAGTCTTCTAACTTTAGAATTACAGATAATGATTCATTGATAGAAACTACAATTTTGTTTGTGGTTCAGTAGATGAACAAATTTATTATCTTTATAGGTTTCTAAGTTAGATAACCATTCATTAAGTTAGATATCTTGATTACGGTAGAAGTCTTGTGGTAGACTAGATAGTAAATACCGGCCGGTTTACGAAATCTTAGACTTTGTAGATAGCAAGTCATGTGATATCTAACTTATTATACAATTCAGTCTTTTATATTTCAAGTACTATAATGGAGTTAGGGGAAAAGTATAAAAACTTTATCTAACTATTTAATACTCAATTTTGTCTTTTGAATTAGAAGAGGATGGAGGATATTCTTAACTTGGAAGTAGACGAGAAGGAAATGGAATTTTTGGATGAAGAGGAAGGAGAAGAGTGGCCTGAAGGAGGAATGTCATGTCCTGTTTTAGCATGCCCTAACAGAGAGCATCATTTCAAGACACTTAATAATTATGCGGCACACTTTCACAGGTTTCACAAGAAGAAGATTACACTATACAGTTGTCCTATATGCAAAGATAAGGATTCCATACGTTCGGAAATTACAAGACATTGTAAGAAATACCATAAAGACAGGCAAATAGGTCACATTGAGGGAAAACGGTTGACAATTCGAAATTTGTGGATCTTGGACACTTCAAGAAACCTAGGAAGCGCATATACAGAGAAGAGAGAGAGAAAGCTCGCCAGGAAAGGTTGATGACCCAGTCTAGGAAACCTCTTTTCGAACTGCCAGAGGATTTCAACGCAAGAGACCATCGATACCCTGTTGGTGGATACAAACATTAATGGTGTTATCACTATCAAAAGTTGTCATTACCATTTAAGTCCAAGAATTGTAATTTTTGTTTTAAGGAGGGGGAATGTGACAATTTTGATGTTTTACTACTTTACTAAGTCAGATCTATAGTTATAATGTTTGTACATTAGGCCTATTATACTTGTATTTACTTCTGAAGTCATTTCAACATAGTACAAAGTTAATATTTCGACTTTATAGATGTTTACCTTTCACTGCTTTAAGTAATTCATTGAAACCGCCATATTGTCAGTCACACCAAACGTAATATGTATTCTATAATTCTATTGGATGAGAGACTTAGTCCTAGCCTATCAGATTAGACATTTATTTTTAGTGTATAATTGGTTACTCTGCCTATAAATAGTGCTACTCACGAAATTCTAGGGTCAAGAACTGTAAGGTTCGCTTCTTAAGAACTTCGTGTTCGTTTTCTTTGTTAGGATTTATACAAAATGTAGAATTAGATATCCATAGTTTGTTTCAGTTATGTATATTTAGGATACCCCTGTGTTTATTTTTATTTTGGTCTACATTCTTGGATGTATAGAAGCCCTTTAGATCAATAAATACATAATTTTGAAGTCACATTCTCCCCTATAGTTTTCCATTATTTAATTATTTTTTGGATAAAGCCATTTGTTATATTTTTTTGGAAACATTTTGCTTTTTGTTATCAACTAGTCTAAAGTCATATTTTTACCTTTGTTATAATAAATTCTAAAACTTTACAAATCTTTTCATTTCAAAACAAGGTGTTGATCATAATCTGGGAATCACATCAGACCCTGGGTAGATAATTTAACCAGTGTGGCCCATATATATTGGTTAAAGACAATTACCAATCCCAAGTACTATAATCAATAGAGTATATTGAATTGAATTATTACATCAAAGTTAGGACTTGTGCTTTGGGAAAGGTTTGTCTTATTTTTAGTCCCTTGATTACACTGGTTCCCGTTACACATGTATATTTATTTCTTTTATGTTCAACATATACGCTATTGCTTGTTTGCCGAACATTGATTGTGACGTCATTACCATAACATTTTAACGTCAAATGTTTAAAGTAAAATGTCTGAAGATTTTGAAATGAAAGCGCTAACGTTTTACAACTTGTGTTGTCGTTTTTTTTTTTATATATATATATATATATATATATATATATATATATATATATATATATATATATATATATATATATATATATATATATATATATATATATATATATTTATATATGCAGATTATAATTGCCAAAAAATTATCCATCAAGAAATGAAACTATACAAAGTTTTGCTTAAAATAAAATATTTTTCATAGTAAATATAAATGATTTTATATACATTACTTTTAGAAATATAGTATGTAAATTAGTTCTCTGTTCTTAGAATAAATCTTCTACCATTTTCTTCTAATTGTATTAATATTTTGTTTCCCTTATTCATAATTATTCATTTATGTGAAATAAAAGATTGGTATTTAAATTAAAACCTATATCATAAAACAGATAAATTCAAGATAAGTGCTTTTTAAAAAGCCGAAAATAGTCTTTACCGAAATCGATATTCTTTTGAAAACAACTAGGCTTTAATGAGCCGTAAAGTGAAAAATTAACCCAACAACGATTACAACAGCAATAACAGCCTTTCCGATAAGTAAATAAACTACTCTCCTTTTCGACAATTTACGATTTTTTGCATCCAATTCGATCAAAATTTTCGTTAATCTAAATAATTCCTCTGTTTCCTTTTGAGTTTTTATCCGTTTTTCTTGTTCTGTCTTCATTATCTTCCGAGATAACTTTTCTTTTTCTACCCTGTAGTTTTCTATTTTTTCTTTTATTGCCTCAATTTCCATGGTAGCAGTAGCAGAATGAAGTCTTTCATTTAGTTTGGATATCATCTGATTGTAATAATCAAGTTTTTCTCTATCATTTCTGACCTTCTGAGAAAACTTTTTGTTGAATTCCAGTTCGATATTGGAAATATAAGATGACAGTTCTCTATCAATTTTTTTCTTTTTATCGACCTTTTGCCTTTCTTTTGCTTTCTGGAATTTCTGGAATACTTCATGTGTGTAAAATGTCCCATTATTTTTATCCATTATTTCTCGTACAATTTTCAAAAGCTTTTGTACTTGTTTTTCGTTATCCTCCTCGGTTGCTCTGTTATTGAAGGAAATCACACGCTGTCCACATTTGGCAAATAACCCCTTCAAAGTGGATGGACATTCCTTCATAAAATCAGAAAAGTCTACACAATCAGCATTTCTGTCGTCTTCTTTTGGGAACAGCAAAATGGAATATTTAAACAAAGAATCTCCAAATAAGTTTTCAATTTCTTTTAGAACATCCTCCTCTTCCTGAGTAAATCGAGCTGTTCTCAAAACAATTATAAATGCGTGTGGACCAGGAGCAGCCTCCGAAAAAATCTTAAGAATCTGTCCATAAACACTTTTTCTTCTTTTGTTAGTATCAAGAAATCCAGGGGTATCAACAACAGTTATTCTTTCTGAGGGTCTTTCCACTTCTTGTTTTTGGCATGTTTCGGTAACAGAGACCTGGCTGGCACGAGATGAAAAAAATTTTCTTCCCAAAATAGAATTACCTGTTGCACTTTTCCCTGAGCCTGTTTTTCCTAACAAGACCAACCGCATTTCTTGTTTATTATCTGCTAAAAAGAATTATGAAATTGAATTGATGTTGATGTACATTCACTCGATTATTGAATTCAGTTTATGATTTCTTATTTTAAAAGCCCTGTGTTTTCAAGTTTTTACATGAAATATTCCCATAACTCGGCTATGTTAAGGAAGGTCAGAGTTCACATTCCTTGTACATCGTATTGGAAGTTTAACTGTGACGTCATTGAAATTTAACAAGCCACAAAAATTAATTAACAACATGATCATGCGTAAATAACAACTTGAATTTATTTATTTTATCGATTATTGATAAGATATTGTAAAATTTCAATACTTGATAGCGATACAGTCGAGTAATAGAAGAAGGTCTTTTGTCAAATATGACGTCATCAGCACATGACGCAGCACAAGTGATCCAGAGGAGTAGATTCAATGGTTTAATAATTACAAGAATGCTTAAATAAATATGATACCATTGCTAATTTTTAAACCTAATCATTTAAACTAAAAGAAAATTATTTATTAAATACAATTTGTATAGAATATATGAATTTATCTAGTAGCATTGAAGCTGCACAGGGATAAGGAATATAGAGAATATCGCTAAAACGATGAGCGTATTCGTGATTTACATCAAAAGTGCAAGGGCATAGACTATTTTGTTTGAGCTGAAATTTCGAATATATATTGCTCATATAGTGTATATTTTGAAAAGTACTAGGAGCCGATCCTGGTCTGTATAACATTAATTTTATTTATAACAGAATTTAAGCGAAGTGGAAATTTTTAGCTATTATAAGCATTTTCGGCAAAATTTGAAGTACTTCGCAAACAGCACTGACTAGTTCCCTGGGTAGAGGATATAAACCTCTTTTAATGTGTATCAATTATTTTCTTGAAAACAAGCGTATGCCCTTGCACTATCCACATTTCCTACATTCATCTTAACAATTCTATTTTTATACAAGTCACGTGACAAACAGCTGATAAGTGCGATATAACTGGTAATAACTACGGCCCAGTCCTATCCATTATTGATATCTATATTACCTTTTCTACAAGTATTTAGTTGCTTTGATAATATCTTTAAAAGAAACAATACAAATTAAAACGGTGAAAAGGTCACATTTTCCATATCGGTCCTTAACATAGCTGAGAATTAACAAATTTGAAGCTCAGAAGCCAATAAGAACTATCAGAACAACACAAATTGAGAGCTAGCAAGGAAGCAGTTACAGAAACAAATTGTTCACCTTGCGCAAACGCAATGAAGAAAATACAGCGAATTGGACATATGATTATGTGATCTACTATTTTTTTAAAAATCATCTTTTATGTGTTCAGAAGATATATTTCTTCATTTTTAAATTGGTTTGAAATGTGTAGCTCAGAGGAAGTTTTTTTTTAACAAAAAAATTTGGTTTATACTTTCTGCAATGGCGAGAAGAATTTTTATATGTGTGTATGTTCTATAAATAGTAAAAACAATATTCTTCAGCTGCATATCTTTCAAACAATACTTTTTCGTTATTCCTCACAAAGATAATAACAGTTATGAAGGAAAAGCTTCAAGAGTACTGTGCAACAATATTAATTTATTCCAGAAGCTATGTAAATCAGATGTTGATACTCAAAAAATAAAAATCCAAATATCTTTTGAACAATGTGAAATCACAAGAATTTAAAGAATATACAGTATAACAACTTACGACTTTTCAACTTCATACACAATAATTCCCCTTGAAAAATTAAAGTTCAGGCTTTTTTATACCCTTGACAGCTGCTTTTTCAATAAATTTACTAACCTTGTCATTGGTTAATTGCAAAATAATTTTGTTAAAACACTTTCTGATTGCACATACAAGTACTCTGAAGTTGACATCAAGGAGATGCTTGATTTGTTGATTGAAAATATCTATGCGGTTTTTGGAGGCCAGGTACATGTATTGCAAAAATCTGTTTGATTCTAATGGGTACCGATGGCGCTCCATTATTAGCAGACCTATTTTTTAATTCATATGAATCAAAGTTTGTGCAAAATCTTATGAATTTAAAAGAAGAAAACAATTACTGTGGCCTTCAACTCGACAACTAGATATACCGTATAAGTGGAAAATTTAGCGAGATGCAAATTTAGCGATTTGTCCTTAAAAACTGGTAATTTATCTTTAGCGAGATGTAATTTAAGTGATTTTACAATGCACATTAAAGAGACTATTACAAATAAAACGCAATTAATTTTTAGCGCTATTCAATTTTAGTGATTTTGATACCCTCGCTAATAATGCCAAAATTGAATCCTCGCTAAAATATCTACTTATACGGTATCAACGACGTATTGTCAAATTATAGTAATTTCCCTTCCTACGTCGATACGATATATCCTGGTGAGTTTGAGATAAAAGATAGCACAGATTCTGACACATCTGTTTCATAATTGGCTACTTTAGTTAGAAAACGTTATTGGTAATCTCACAACCAAGCTATAATCCTGGCCTTGTGGTTCTTGAAAAGAAGATTTTCAAAGTTAACTCTACCCCAGGATGCTTCATCATAAGTTTCAGCATTTCTGACCAAGTGGTTCTTGAGAAGAAGATTTAGAAAGATTTTTCCCCTTATTTCTATGTAAAATTTTGATTCCCTATTGTGATCTCGTGGACCCCCCGGGGGTCCTTGCTTGAACAACTTAGAATCTTCACTTCCCTATGTACTCCCATTTACAATTCAGCTTTCCATGCCTTATGGTTCTTGAGAAGATGATTTTCAAAGAGTTTGCCTATATATGACTATGTAAAGTTTTGATTCTCTATTATGGCACCGCTCTACCCTCTGTGGTCATGATTTGAAGAATTTAGATTTTTCACAACTCCAGGATGCTTCAACATAAGTTTCAACTTTTCTGGCCCAGTGTTCTTGAAAAAAAATAATTTAGTGACCCCACCCTTTTTTGTCCTTTCTTCATTATCTCCCCTTAATTGTGAGGGGACTTGATCTTTTATTTTAAAAATTAAAATTCCTCTTCACCGAGGGATGGATACTTTGTACCATGTTTTGTCAAAATCTGCCCCGTAGTTCTTGAGAAGAAGTCGAAAATGTGAAAGTTAACAGACGGACAAACGTAGACAAAATGTGGTCAGAAAAGCTCACTTGAGCCTTCGGCTCTAGTTATCTAAAAAACACTATGACATCACAAGAGTATTGATATACCTTTAAAGAGTTTTACTGTCAATTTTAGGCAAAACCAAAAAAAACGTCATAAGATAAATCTATTAGACATTGTTATACCTATTTAAGTTTATTGAAAAAAACAGAACAGTGAGGTTGTTTTAAATATAACACCGTCGGACTGGCCTGCTTATAAAAAGTAGATGCTCGTTGATTTTCCTGTATATTGTTTTAAATATCATGGTATTGGCATGAATACACTGTATTAAATTTGGCTGTTGTAATATATTGACATGAATAATCTTATTTATGACTTAATTAGTATGTGAACTCTCTAATGTGGTAAGTCTAATAAATGAGTTTCCGGTTTCATCATCATGGTGTTTTAATCAGGTTATTAATGGTGTCAGAAAATTCATATCCATCGCCCCAGAAATATTGCTCATAAAGGCATTAGAACGACCACCATTTTTGTGTGCACAATTATCGCAATATCAAGAGACAGGAATTCTTAAATACCAACGGAGGAAATAGCACAGTTATAGACTATATCTTGGAGCTTAAGCGGAAAGCAGAATTTTGTGAATACGGTGAGCATAAGAAGGGCTTCATATGTGACACGATTATTAATGGTGTTAACGACAGGAAGTGCTCAGAGAAATTAATGGAAATTACAGCTGCTGACTTTAATCTAGACAGAGTAATTCAGACATGTCGACAGATTGAACTAACTAGCGCACATCTGAAAAACTTGGGTGCAGAGAACCCAACTGTTAATCTTGCACACATGCATCATGAGAAAACAAGGATGAATCGTCAACGAACAAGGGGAGGTAAATACCAAGGCACTCATCCATTTTGTATCAAATGTGGCAAACACCATGCGAGTGGAAACTGTCCGGCTTATAACAAGCATTGTGATTTATGTGGACAAAAGGGACATTTCAAACATTCAACTTTTTGTCAAGGACGCACTACACCAGTCAGAAATTTACGTAAAGGCAGGAGCAGGCTCAGAGGCAATGGAGATGCACCGCAGCCATCAAGTGTATATTACGCAGAGGATGATAACGAATATCAGGATACTCAAGAACTGAAACAAATGTCATGATCGAGAAATAACGGAAAACTCTGTTGTTAATGCAGTGTATAAATATTGCACCAACAATAAGTATGCCAAGAGGCCCATGGGCCACATCGTTCACCTGAGAGCTTTGACCATTATGTTCTTTACCAGATTTCCCCCTTTTATTACATATTGATACATACCTACCCCCACTGATCATGACTCAGACAATTCAAAATCTACAATACCCAAGGATGCTACGATGTGCACATAAATTTCAGCTTTTCTTGCCCAGTGATTCTTGAGAAGAAGATTTTCAAATCAATGTACGTTTCAAGATGTGTAGACAGCTGAAACAGATTCTAGCAAGGAGAAACAAAGTGATTGGAAAGTCACTTTTGACGTCATAGATAGGAAACTTACCTTTGATTTTGACAGTGGAGCACAGTAAAACATCCTATCAAAAACAAGTGCCGAGAAATTCACATCGACTGTGCCAATTACCGACAGTAATGTTATCATCTATGGAGTGAGCAAAAAAACAAAATCATGTGGACAAATATGCCTGCCATGCAGATACCAAGACAAAGAGAGAACCATACACTTTCAAGTGATTGACAATCCTCGTCCTTTACAGCTACTGGGGAGAAAGGGCAGCATTCTTTTTGGTCTTATAGCCGGAGTGAACAATGTAGCTGTGAGCGATGTCACAGAACAGATTAAAGAAGTATTCACATATGTTATCAAACAGGAAGATGGATGTCTGCCTGGCGAATATGAAATCAAAGTTGACAACACCATAACATCAGTTATTCACTTACCAAGAGCTATTCTTGTAGCCTTTCGTGAGCAAGTGTAAAGTGAGCTTGACAATCTCGTTCGTTGTGGATTTATTAATCCAGTCAAAGAACCAACCGCATGGGTAAAGAGTTTGGTTTGTGTAAGGAAAAGGAAAGGTCGTGTACGAATTTGCATTGATCCATCAGATCTCAATAGAGCGATTAAGCGTGAGCATTACCCGATGAACAGCAACGATATAGTGACAAGGTTACAGGGAAGCAAATTTTTCTCTACCCTTGAGGCTTATATGGGCTACTATCAAATAAAACTGACCAAAGCAAGCTCCTTGATAACAACATTTAACACGCCTTTTGGAAGGAACCGATATCTTCGTATTCCAATGGGATAAAAATGTTCAGGAGAAGTGTTCCAGAGAGAAATGGTTACTCACTTTGGCAGCATGGAAGGTGTGGAAATCGTGATTGACAATATACTGGTTCATGGGAAGACTCTCGAAGAGCACATGAAGAGACTTACGTCAGTACTCAAAAAGGCCCGATCAATTGGTCTGAAACTAAACTCAGTCAAGTGTGTACTTGTGAAGCCAGAAGTAGATCATGTTGGTCATCGCCTCACCAGAGAGGGTCTAAAACCTTCAAGAGATAGAGTACGAGTAATTCTTGAGATGAAGGATCCAAAGGATCAAAGCGAGCTAGAAACTGTACTGGGCATGCTCACATACTTAGCCAAGTTCATTCCAAGACTAAGTGAACTTACATCACCATTACGAGAGCTGGGACATTGAAGCTCATCAGACATTTGCTAATGTTAAGAAAGTACTTACCTCAACAGATGTTTTGAAGTACTTCGATGCGACACAGCCAGTGATCGTTACAGTCGATGCATCAATGAAAGGTTTGAGAGCAGCAATCCTGCGGAAAAATGGAGTAGTGGTTTATGCATCTCGAGCTCTAACACCAGCAGAGCAAAGATATGTGCAAATCGAGAAGGAGATGCTCGCAGTATTGTTTGGGTGTGAACCTTTTCATAAGCTGCTGTACGGGAAATCTGATGTAACAATAGAAACAAACCACAAGCCACTTGAAAGCATCATGAATAAACCAATACACACAGTGCCGATGCGAATTCAAAAAATGATGTTAAGACTGCAGCCGTATGAATATAATCTCATATATGTGAAGGGAAAGGAAATTGGATTGGCAGATTGTCTTAGCAGGCTACCGTTACAGGAGAGGGACAAACAAGTGATAGACGTTGAAATAATGGTTTTTACTGTAGAAACACTGTGATATACAAACCATGAGACACTAGTAGAAGGCACGAAGAAAGATTAGCAATTACAGATTCTGAAGCAAGTAATCTGCCAAGGATGGCCAGACAGGAAATGTGACTTGCCACTTGAAGTCATCCCGTTCCGGGACTCTCACGATGAGTTATCTACCTACAATGGGTTAATCTATCGTGGAGAACGAATAGTCATACCAACAGAGCTACGAGCTACAACACTGAGCCTATTCACAGTTCTCATCAAGGAATTCCTAAACCCAAACAAAATGCTAGAGAGCTAGTGTTTTGGCCTGAGATGAACAAACAGATTGAAGATGTGGTCAGCAGATGCGGCGCTTGCTTGATGCTAAGAAACAAGCCAAAGAAGGAACCAATGACCATTCATCCAATACCTTCACTTTCTTAGAGCAAAATGGGTGCAGATCTGTTTGAGTTTGACAACCACCATTATCTCGTTGTGGTTGATTACTATTCGAATTTCATTGAAGTTGCCGAATTAGAACGTGACACAAGATCAGCAACTGTCATCAAACGAGTCAAAGAAAATTTAGCTCGTTACGGCATTATAGACATACTGATTAGCGACAATGGTCCACAGTTTGCTTGCCAAGAGTTCAAGGATTTCACCAGATCATACGGTATTGAGTAGTAATAATATGCTTGTACTAAAACAATCGTAAATAAAATATGCATATTAAATACATTAAATACCTATTAGCTCCACCTGAAATACCTATTAATAAATAAATATATATGACCTATTAGCTCCACCCATTTCATAACTAGAAACTTTTAGCCCCATCCATTTGATATTCCACTAAAACAATCTTTCCATTTCTAGGTAGTTTTATAGCATTTCCTAACACAAAAGGAAATAAAACTTAATAAAATATGCATATTTTTAAATATAATTCGTTCTTATCGAATGAATGATGATAACACAAATCGAAATACTGGGGGCAGTTGTTTGATGGTAGGAAAACCTTTGAAATGAATACAGAAAGTTTTCCTAAGGTTTACAAACGTTTTTGTCAGTGAGTTCTAGTCAATCGGTCAAGAGAGTGCAAATGAACAAGTTTTTAAAGATGCCCTAATTGAACCCTAACCCTAACCCTAACCCTAAAAAAATCTTTTTAGGTGGTATACTTGCAAAATATAATAAATTATTTTTTTTTTAAAGTCAAAGCTAGGCTACTATTAATCACTTTTTATTATCGCAGGTTGTATCTTACTGTCAAGTTTTTGACTGTTTTACATTTATAGTACACCTGTTAATACAACAAACAACAAAGGGATACTCATATCCAAAAATCAAAATTGTAAAAGTGTATCTTTATAGAAATTGTATTAAGCCTAACTTTAATAAAAGTTCCTGTTTACAGAAAAGAAAAACAAGGAAAATCAGAATCCTTTGAGATAATATAACACATCTCTGTAACGTAGATGTCTCCACCCAAAAAATCCAGAAAAAAAGGAATCCTAAGAGAAAATATAATAAAGATATCTCTATAACAAAGATGTCAGCACCACAGCAACCACTACATTAAAAACGCATCATGAGTTTGATCTAAATGTTAATCTCAAGGTCCACCCTTGGTAACTAGTGCACCTCATGCATACTTTGAAAAAAGTCAAGATCATTCAGTGTCAACTATGCCATTTAATGAATCTGCAGAAACGTTCTGCATATCTTGACATTTTTGACAACTCCTTTGTTTTAGTTTTCATTGTTCTGGTAGTATATAAGGAGACATTTCACTTGTTAAATCATACACTCCTTTCTCCAGATTGAGGTATCAAGGTAAAATTGACCATTTCTTATTTTGTTTTTATAGCAATTAATATCTTATCTATAAGCAACCAAACTTTATAAAATATTTTATAGTAAATTATACTTTACTAATGTTAAGCTTTGATAATTTAATTCACTATGCAATTCTTTTTAGATTTAAAAAGCTTCAATTCGATAAAAGTTGTGCAAAATTTGGATATAATGTGTAAATTCATGTATACAACTTATATTGCCATATTCCATCAAATTTTGATATAAAGTAGGTGCACGTGTGACCTGGAGAAAATAATGAAATATAACAATCTAAAATATATAGAAAATCAAAAACACAGATTCATTAAAAAAAAAACAGTTTGATATGCAAAAGTAAAAACTTTTTATTTAAAGTTAACTACAGTGAACTATAGCATTTTTTTAAAATTGGATATCATCAAAAATATACATATCAGAATTGGTAAATTGAAACATTTCTCGAAATTTTCGTTGTTTTCATCCTAGTAAAACTACCTCTTTCTAAACAAAACTGTTATTGACTTTTGATATTTGTAACTGCATATGTGATAATATAATCTTTGTATTTTGTTTATTGATTGGTTAAGTGCTATCTATCTATTTTTTCTGTTTTCTTGTATACTGCGTTCTTTTTTAAGGTTTTGGTTTATTTCTCTTTTTTTTCATTAATTATTAACTGTAATTCATGATGATCAAAGAAATGATCCCATTCAGTTTCAAAATTGAAAAGATTCATTTCTTGAAGCATAAAGCTAGATTCGTTTTATATTGTATAGTAAATTTTTATTACTACAATAAATGATGTATCCTTACTTATATGTTACAAAAAAGAATGTCAAATGAGCCAGAATCAAACTTTAGTAAAAAAATAATTTTCTTTTGACTGCCAGGTTTAGTATCACAGAGAACAATGAACTTCGTCCAGCTATTGTTGCTTCTTGTTCTGGTTATACTGACCGTCTACGTCATGGGATCAGATGCCTCCCCCTGGAGATGGTACAGGAAATGGTCTGATTCCAGTAGCGGCGGTTCCTGGAGCTATGGTCGTTGATAACAAGGTAACATCAAAACAGCCGAATGTGATGACTTGTAACATGATGCTTATCTTTATAACCACTCTGATCATACTTAAGCAAAACTTTAATTTACACTGTATCTATAAATGTTAACAATAATTCAACACTACGTGTCCTTTAGCTATCTTTATAGATTTTTGTCAATCTTTCCACCTCTGTTATTGATATTGTTGAAGACTATATTTAAAAATCAAACTTATTCATTCATACTTTCTATTATTTCAGATGGCAGCCAAAAGGAAATGATTCGTCGAAATATTTTATTCACCTTAGTTATTTGTTTTTGTGTTTTATGAATACGGAATTTTATGGAACAAACTGTAATATAATTTTGCATTTGCGTTCTACATTTTTTATTTCAATAAAACTAAAAAAAAATGAATGGTGTTTATCTCCTTTTTTTCTATTGCAGATTAGTTAAATAAACATTAACCAACAAAATGTTTTCATATTATAACATTTGTTGTGTCAGAAGACAAAAAGTAATGTCCTTATTCATTTGTTATGCATGATAGAGACAACAAAGTCAAAAAGACAACAACAAGAAGATAAGAATTAAAAGTTGAAGGCTATTAATCCAAATATTTCAAGTCTGTGGAGAGTAAACAATTATGCCGGTCACAAATGCAATTATTGAATTCTGTTCACAAATCTTCTTCCAAAGTTAAGATCTTTCAATACCAAACTCAACAAACACGATTAAATATGCATGTTTTATCTGATCATTTGATATTTATGTAGAAATTAAGTTTTTTTTTTTACTTTTTGTCAAAAAATATAAAATTATATCTGTTATACTGTGAAAAAAGCTTGATAACTTGAATTCCTTTCCCAGTATGTGTCTCACAAGTTTTTGAAAATTACTAAATGTTAACCAATCTCTCTCTCTCTCTCTCTCTCTCTCACTTCAACTTCAAGGATAGCAGGCATATTGTTCTGATAAATTTTACAAATATTTGATACCTGAATTTAGTATTGAAAATCGTTAATTCTTGTTTTGCTTTAAACCAGATTTGTAGATAACTTTTATCTATTAGAATGTTGTTCATGCATAAGAATATCTTCTTAGGTATTGCAGTTTTTTGTTTACCTTTTTAATCTAGTACCAATGGTTTACAAAACTCCCAAGCTAAGTGTCTCATTATAGGTCATGTTGATAACCTCTGAACTTACATATTTACGTATTGGCTGGCACATTATATGGCGCTTTAGAATACCTTTGTTTATGACGACATAATCATATATTTACAATACACATGTTTTCTGCGTATAAAGTGAATGAAAATTTATTGCATTCAAAACACAATAACACGGAAAGGGGGTCAAAAGTTTAAAAATGGCGTACACACATTGTTTTATTTTTTTAACTACAAGTGGGGTCATGCGCTTCTTTTGGCGTCAAAGAGCATTTAGTTTTGCCTTTTTGCCCTGTAAATACGTCTTTTAAATAAATCAAATTTTAAAGTTTGTCCTCCAAAATTTTAAGTTCAAGAAGGATATGGAGATAACAAACAGTATTCAATATCAAAATCCATAAAACAATACAAAATAGGAGCAGAGCAAACACGGACCTCCAAACATCAGAAATGGGATCAGGTGCCATGTAGGAGTGAGCATCCACTGCTGACCGGTCACATCCGCCGTGAGCTCCTTGTCATGATCGGGAAATAACGGAAAATCCGTCGTCAAATCAATGTATAAATAATGGACTAACAATAAATATAAAAAACGTCAGTCAGCATTTGACTTTATGATAAATTTTATTTGCTAACAAGGTCATTTTATCGACCATAGAACTTACAAAATGATGACTTTAAACGGGACTACTGATATTCTTGTATCATCATCTTGCTTGTCAATAATTTACCTTGTTTTAGAAATTGTTCATACGTAGAACATGCGCTTGCGTATCGAATCAACTGAGATATATACACTCCGTTTGCAGATGATGAATGTGTACTGCTGCATAAGTAAGGAAAGTTGACGATAGAAAAGTTGAAGTCATCACGTTTATCATAAGAAGGATATGGAGATAACGAACAGTATTGAATATCAAAGTCCATAAAACAATACAAAAATAGGAGCAGAGCAAACACGGACCTCCGAAACACCATAGGTGGGATTAGATGCTTGGTTGTTAGATTACCATTAACGTCTTTTTCAAGTAAAATATCCAAGTATGTAACAGATGTGTCAGACTCTGTGGTATCTTTTATCTCAAGCTCTTCAGGATACAGTGGCTGGAACGTTATTGTTGACAACTTACACGAACGATCACGTTACACGAACGATTCCGCACGATTAACGCACGATTAAACCTGTTACACGAACGATCTTTCACGTTCACGATTCTACACGTTACACGATCTTACACGATTGTTAACGCAAACGCACGATTCTTCACTCAAAATAGTTCAAAATATTTAGGAATCAATATTTTCAAAACGAAATACGCTTAATACTTATTTAAGATTTCAAAGAATTATCAATATTATTTCATAGACTTTGAAGAAAAAAACCGGAAAATGATATTTCTGTAACTAAATATATGCAAGACTTAATATTTTAGATTAAAAATAATTATTTCTAAGGTAATTCTCCGATAAAAAAACGGATTTTGTTCGTTCTATTAGACGATGTACATGTATGTGGGTCATATAATTTGATTGTATTGGATATCATGATATGCAGAAAGGGGGATACGATTGAACAAAAATGGCAGCATGGAAAGACTTAAATTACATTGTACAAATTTTATCCTTATGTTTCCAGTGATTCAATATCTGATAAACTTGCCAATTATTCAACTTTTTTATTTACAGAAATTTAAAATTAATTAATTACAAATAGGCTCAAGAAATAAACACAGATAATCAAAACTCCCGAAGATCATGCCGTGTCCATGTATATTTGTCGACTAACTATATATGTAAGCATTGAGAAATGTTTATTTCGTTTTTGAAAAAATATATATCTTTATTTTCAATGAATAGATTTCAAGATTATCTTGACCACAATAAGAAGTAAATAATAATTAAAATCAGATTTTTCAAAAAGGCGTTAAAGATCTAAGTACGGTTTATCACAATATTGATCGCGCTATTTGACGAGAACTTAATATTGTACGACTTATTATATTGCTTGTTTACGGGCGATAATTAGTTCGTTCTGCATTCTGTTATGTAAATTACGCTTTTTTATTTTATGTGGATTTTAATTAATATATTAAGAAAAACAAACAAGGGAAATGCTTATTTTACAAATAACATTCCGATAAAAACTTACAAAACGAAATTTACACGATTCTAAACGCACGATCTTGCACGATTAAAAACGCACACGAATGAGTCTGATACACGAACGATCTTTCACGTTAAACGAACGATCACTCACGATACACGAACGATTCTACACGATTGGTTTGTCAACAATAACGTTCCAGCCACTGTATGGGCAGGTTAAAGTTTTTTGTGACGAACGGACAGACGGACAGACTGACAGACTGATAGACTGACGGACAGACGAATGAGATTTAATGTCCCCTCGCTTTCGCGAAAGCGGGGGACAAAAATGATAGACAATGCTTTATCCTGTTGAGACTTAAACATGAGTGAAAAGGAAAAGAGTGAATTCTTGGAAAACTTCTATTACAACATTGCTAATCCAGTGGCATATACCACGCCGGAAAAACTGTATCAAGCGTTGAAGACAAGCGGAAACTTTAAATTTATCAAATATATTATTTCAAAATGGTTGAAAAAGCAAGAGGTATATACCTTACGAGGGCAAGTTCGTCGACCTAAAAAACTCCCAAACATTCGTGTCAGTGGTCTAAATGTTCAGTGGAGTATGGACCTCATGGATGTTCAAAACCTCTCAAACGATAATGATGATGTCAGATTTCTACTTATTCTAATAGATACACTCTCGAAATTTTTAAGAATAGTAGCATTAAAAAACAAGACAGTCAGGGAGGTTTTAAATGCAATTAAATATATATTTGAGCCTGGTGTCAAATGTCACACATTAAGGAGTGATCGAGGAGGGGAATTAAAAAATCAATTGCTACAGAATTACTTTAAAAAAGAGGGGGTTCGCCTCATTTTTGCCAATCAAAATTCTAAAGCATCTATAACTGAAAGAGCTATTCGAACAATTCGTGGTAGACTTTATCGATATTTAAAAAAACAGAACATATAGATATATAGATGTTTTAACTGATATTGTGAATTATTACAACTCTACCCCACATAGAAGTCTTAATGGAATGGCACCTATAGAAGTTACCAAGGATAACGAAGCCAATGTTTGGGCTAATATGTACCTAAAAATGTTAAAACTGACAGAAAATCAAATCAAAAAGAACCCCCAAAGACAAAAAGAACAATTAAATATCGATATAAAGTCAACGATCTAGTTAGACTTTCTCATTTAAAACATATATTTCGACGAGTATATAATCAGCAATTTACAGGAGAAGTGTTTAAAATTGCTAAACGCTTTCATTTGCAGGGAATACCGATGTACAAAGTAAAGGATCTCAACTTAGAAATAATAAAAGGTGTCTTTTACGAAAATGACTTACAGAAAGTAGATAAGGATCAAAAATCTTTGTGGATAGTGGAAAAAAAATATCAAAAAAGGAAAAGGAAAGACAGAGCTGCCAGTGAAATTTGAATCTTGGCCTGAAAAGTTTAACCAGTGGGTGAAAGAATCGGACATTGTTGATGTTAACGCAGTATAATAGAGAAGTATATATTCATCAGGTCAAATGACTCTGTAAATTATTACCCTGAAAATAAACCATATGATTTTAGAGTACATCTTGACAATTATATTGATTTAAGAGGATAATGGAAAATTGGTATATCGGAATTTTTTACTTTGTCATCTCCAAAGAAAAAGATCATTGACAAAGTAATATCAAAACCAACTACATCCTTTAATTTTAAACCGCTCTATGTTTTTTCTAACGTCTGTGACTTTTCAAGTGTCAATGGTCGGGAGCGACCTTTTCTGTGCATCATCCAACCAGACCCTTCTTCTGGTTGGAAAGAAAAATTTAATCCCATTTATTATATTTCCACTAGGATCTCTGACCTAGTCGACCTACATTTTTATTTAAAAGATGACACTAATGAACCTGCAACATTCATTGAATCCGACGTTTGGCTGACACTTCATTTAATTCGATATCCATTTTAATCATGGATTCTAGTAAAGGTCTTCATGTACCTGATACCCAGAAATGGTAATGTGAACCCTTCTTCCGATTACACAATGAAAGATACCAACGTGGTGGCGGTTTACGAAACAACACTAACTTCTCCTTACATTCTTTCTATCGACAAATATGCTAAGG